TCAAGAATAGAAAATCTAAATGCACCTATAACATGTGAAGACATTGAGTTAGTAATCAAAATATTTCTAACTAAAAAAAAAAAAAAAAGATGGCCCCATTCAACCAAATGTTTAAGGAAAAATTAACAATCAATCCTTCTTAAACTCTTCCAAAAGTCAGGAGAGAACACTTCCTAACTTATTCTATGAAGTCAAAGCCAGACAAAGACATCACAAGAAAACAACACATGAATATGCCTTATTTATATAAATAACATCACAAATACTAGCAAATCAATCCAGTAACACACTGAAAGGATTACACATATGACCAAGTGGGATTTATCTCAATAATGCAAGGTTGTTCAAATATTAAAATCATTTAATGTAATATACCATATTAATAATATAATAATAAAGGGGAAAAACACATGATTATCTAGATACAGAAAAAGCATTTGACAAATTGATACCCACTCATGTAAAAATACTCAACAAACTAAGAATACCTTCCTTTACCTGATAAAGGGCATCTATGAAATACCTATACTAGGCAGGGTGGTGGCTCTCGCCTGTAATCCTAGCACTCAGGGAGGCCGAAGACGGCGGATTGCTCGAGGTCAGGATTCGAAACCAGCCTGAGCAAAGCAAAACCCCGTCTCTACTAGAAATAGAAAGAAATTAATTGGCCAACTGATATATATAGCAAAAAATTAGCCGGCATGGTGGCGCATGCCTGTAGTCCCAGCTACTCGGGATGCTGAGGCAGTAGGATTGCTTGAGCCCAGGAGTTGAGGTTGCTGTGAGCTAGGCTGAGCCATGGCACTCACTCTAGCCTGGGCAACAAAGTGAGACTCTGTGTCCAAAAAAAAAAGAAATACCTACAGCTAATATACTATCAATGGCTGAAAGACTCAAAGCTTTCTCCCTAAGGTCAGGAATAAGACAAAGATGTCCACTCTCACCATGTTGTCCAATATAACCAGGAAAGTCCTAACAAGGGAAATTAAACAATTAAAAAAAAAAAATTGCCGGGCATGGTGGCTCACGCCTGTAATCCTAACACTCTGGGAGCCGACTCGGGTGGATTGCTCGAGGTAAGAAGAGTTCGAAACCAGCCTGAGCAAGAGTGAGACCCATCTCTACTATAAATACGAAAAAAATTAATTGGCAACTAAAAAAAAATATATAAGAGAAAAATTAGCAGGGCATGGTGGTGCATGCTGTAGTCCCAGCTACTTGGGAGGCTGAGGCAGCGGATTGGCCTGAGCCAGGAGTTTGAGGTGCTGTGAGCTAGGCTGACACCACGGCACTATTCTAACCTGGGCAACAAAGTGAGACTCTGTCTCAAAAAAATATAAAACTAAATTAAAAGACATCCAGATTGAAAAAAAAAGAACTATTTACTATTATCTCTAGCTGCAAATAACATGATCTTATACATAGAAAACCCTAAAGAATCTGCAAAAAAAAAAAACCTACTAAAGTTAATAGATGAGGTTCAGCAAATGTGCAGGATCCAAGATGAATATATAAAATTCAGTTGCATGTAAACTAACAATGAACATACAATAACTAACAATGAATTTGAAAATGAAATTTGAAAACCAATTCCATTTACACCAAAATCAAAAAGAATAAACACAGGATTAAAGATTTAACGAAGAAAGTGCAAGACCTGAACACTGAAAACTACAAAATATTCTTGAAAGAATTTAAAGACAACTTAACTTTAAAATATAAAAAGAGATCCTATGTTATGGGATTGGAAGAGTTAATATTACAGGTTGCCCATCCCTAATCTAAAAATCTGAAATCCAAAATCCAAAATTTTTTGAGGATCAACATGATCTAAAACTCTGAACAACAACATGATGCCACAAGTAGAAAATTCCACATTCGACTTTGCTTTCTAACAGTTCAATGTACATAAACTTTGTTTCATGCACAAAATTAAAAATATTGTATAAAATTACCTTTAGGCTATGTACATAAGGTGTATACGACACATAAATGAAGTTCACGTTTAGACTTGGGTCTCATCCCCAATATATCTCATTTTATATACAGAAACATTCCAAAATCTACATTTCTAGACTTAACATAAAAAAAAAAATTCCAGAATCCAAAAAAGTCCAAAGTCCCAAACACTTCTGCTTCCAAGTATTACAGATACAGAATACTCAACCCGTATTAAAATAGGAATATTCCCCAAATTAATCTACAGATTCAACGAAATCCCTATTAAAATTAAAATTTCTTATTTGCAGATATGGATAAGATGGCCCCAAAATTCAGATATAAATGCAAGGGACCAGAAATAACCAAAACAATCTTGGGTGGGGAAAAAAAAAAAAAGCCAAACTTGAAGGTCTCATGCTTTCCAATTTAAAAACTTAGCACAAAGCTATAGAAATCAAAATAGTATGGTAGTGGCATAAGCACGGACATACAGATTAATGGAATAAAATTGACAGTGCAGAAATAAACCCATACATCTATAACTAATTTATTTTCAACAATGTGTCAAGACTATCCAATGGGAAATATTGTCTTTTCAACAAATGGTGCTGGAAAAACTGGATATTCATATGCAAAAGATTGGATTTGAATCCCTACCTTTGACCATACACAAATTGTTTTCTTTTTTTTTTTTTAGATAGAGGTCTTCCTCCCGAGTAGCTAGAATTACAGGCATAATACTGAGCCCGGCTACAAATATTAACTCAAAATGGATCAAAGAACTAAATGTAAGAGTTAAATCTATCATGTTAGATGGAAACATTAAGTATAAATCTTCATGATCTTATATTAGTTAAGTTTCTTAAATTTGACACCAAAAGCACAAGCAAGAAAAGAAAAAAATAAATTGGAATTCATCAAAATTAAAAAAGTTTGTACATAAAAGGACACTAACAAGAAAGCAAAAGAATGGAAGAATTTTCTCCCACAAAATGGGAGAAAATATTTGCAAATCAGGTATCTGGCAAGGTTCTAGTGCTCAGAAAGCATAAAGAACCCTTACAACTCAACAATAAGAAAAACAAACCAGTCAAAATATGAACAAAGGATTTGAATAGGTATGTCTGTAAAGAAATAGCCAGTAAGCACATGAAAACATGCTCTACACCATTAGTGATTAGGTAAAATGCAAATCAAAACAAAATTAGATAATACCTCATACACACTAGAATGGCTATAATTAAAAAGGCAGACAATTGGCAAGGATGTAGAGAAACTGGAATCCTTATATATTTCGGGTGGGAATATAAATGGTGTAGGAGTTTTGGAAAAATACTTGGCAGTTTTTCAAAAAGTTAAACATACCATGTGCCCTAGCAATTCCACTCCTATATGTATATCTAAGAAATTGAAAACATAGGGTCAAACAAAAACTTGTACAAGAATGTTCATAGCAGGATTATTCATAATAGCCAAAATGCAAAAACAATTCAATGTACAAAAGATGAATGGATATATCCACATGATGGAATATTATTCAACCTGCAAAAGGAATAACGTACTGTTACATGCTACAACATGGATGAACCTTGAAAATATTATGCTAAGTGAAAGAAGACAGACACAAAGGACCACATATTGTATGCTTCCATTTGTATAAAATGTCCAAAAAATGCAATCCATAGAGACAAAAAGTAAATTAGTGGTTGCCCGGGTATGAGAGAGGAAAGAATGAGGAGTGACTATAAAGTAGTAGAGGTTTTTTTCTGTAGTGATGCAATGTTCTGGATTTAGACAAGGGTGATGGTTGTACAATTTCGTGAATATACTAAAAACCAGTGAATGAACTGTATAGTTTAAAATGGTTAAAGTTATGCAAATCTTATCTCTATAAATCTACTTTAAAAAAGTGAATCACCTGTAATAGTAAGAGGGAAATAAGGCTGGCCTCAGATTTCTACACAGTAACATTTCTCCTTAACTTTTTGAGGGGAAAAGGGAATCTCATCTTCCTGAATCATCCCAACTTTTAATTTTAAAAACTCACAAATCTACAGAAAAACTGAAAGAAGAGTAAAATTCATGTGCCTTATCTACCTAGATATGCATTTACTTGCCTTTATGTAGTCATTTGCCCTTTTTAAAGTTTTTAAACTAAGTTACCGATATCACTGCACTTCAACATGTTTCTCCAACAAACAAGGAAATGTCCTACAAACAAGAATGCTCCTACAAACCACAATATTATCATCACATCCAAGAAATCTGACACTGATACAAAAATATTATCTAATATATAGCCCATATTCAAATCTCCCCAACTGTTCTTTTTTTTTTTTTTTTTGACAGAGTCTCACTTTGTTGCTCAGGCTAGAGTGAGTGCCACGGCGTCAGCCTAGCTCACAGCAACCTCAAACTCCTGGGCTCAAGCAATCCTACTGCCTCAGCCTCCCGAGTAGCTGGGACTACAGACATGCGCCACCATGCCCGGCTAATTGTTTTTCTATATATATCAGTTGGCCAATTAATTTCTTTCTATTTATAGTAGAGATGGGGTCTCACTCTTGCTCAGGCTGGTTTCGAACTCCTTACCTCGAGCAATCCACCCGAGTCGGCCTCCCAGAGTGCTAGGATTACAGGCGTGAGCCACCGCTCCTGGCCTCCCTAAGTGTTCTTTTTTTTTGAGACAGGGTCTCACTCTGTTGCCCAGTCTGTGAGTCTGTGGTGTCAGCCCAGCTCACAGCAACCTCAAACTCCTGGGCTCAAGCAATCCTCCTGCCTCGGCCTCCCGAGTAGCTGGGACTACAGGCATGTGCCACCATGCACAGCTAATTTTTTCTATATATTTTTAGTTGTCCAGATAATTTCTTTCTATTTATAGTAGAGATGGGGGTCTCACCCTTGCTCAGGCTGGTTTCGAACTCCTGACCTTGAGCGATCCTCCCGCCTCGGCCTCCCAACATGCTAGGATTACAGGTGTGAGCCACCACGCCCGGCCTTTACTCAAATATTTAAATTTTTCTTGAGGAAAAGACATAATGAAAATCAATGACAAATACCTGATTCATACAACTCTTCCATTGATAGCCCAACTTCTCACAGGTCTCTTTCAGGCACTGATAAGATTTGTCTGCATCCAATTTGGTAAAGAATCGTGTCATTCTTTTGACCAAGCGCTGCCAGGGATTCTACATGTCAAATAAAAAAAACTGAATAAATCCATTATGACTGAAGGCAGTCATATCATAGCTATTTAGTCTGAAAATTCTTTTCTACAACTTAGAATTCTTTTGCATAAAGGCCTCCTCTAATTCTTTCTTCCTTGTCTAAAAAATATGTATAATTTAAAAGTTATATATCTAAGATTAACACATTAAAAAAAGGCTTAATTAAAGACAATAAAAAATAAAGGGCTGCCATTATTTATATGAAAAATTAAATTTCCTTACCTGTGAGGATCCTGGGGTGCCAAGTAACTGACTATTCAGAAGCATATGATCAGGACATGTGGGCTGGGAAAAACTGATTCCTTGTACCAGTTTATCAATGTATGAGGGACTGGTATCCCATAAGGACAGACCTGTCCGTGGTTCTGGCTGGGAACTCGAGTACTTCACATTTTCTTCACTAAAGTATTAAGACAGAGAAGAAAAATATGTCTTTAAACAAAATCCATCAAGCCTTTCTTATATCATACAACCATTCTCACACTACTGACACAATTATGTTCATTATTAAGAAAAGATATATATGTATATCATTTCTTCATGTGGGATATTACATTCAACAATAACTTTTATTAGTCTTACCTAGAAGCACTGTTTATTGGAGAGAAGTCCAAATTGGAATGAATGTGCTTAGAGAATCCACTGGGAGATTCTGACATACCACCTGAAGTGACTCGTGGCCTCTTTGCCCCTAAAAAAGAAAACAAATACAAATGCTTTTAAGTCTAATTAGCTCAACTGGCAACTTCAAAAAGTAAAAACATATCTAAATCCTTTAATTTAATCCAAAATACTTATAAGACAAATAGTGAATCTTCTTGTATATTTTATAAGAAATACGGTCAAGTTATAAACTTAACTAAGACTCACTTGTCAAATTAGGTATTTTACAAATTGTGACCGGTAAATATGTTCCAAGTGTGGGGTATCATGCTAAGGCCACAATTTTAATGGCACCTTTTATGGTTAACAGCACAATGTTCTATGAAGACAGAAAGACTTGGCTCAAGGACCAGAAGTTTTTAAACTAAAAAATAATTAATGATAATGGCAATAAACATTATCAATCTGCTCTATCCAACATTCTTTGCACCTCCCCCCCACCCTGCCCCAGAAAAGCTTTACCAAGAAGAATCATTATATGGAAAATGATGCCATTATAAATTCATGCTTACAATCCTCAGCTGGACCCTCAACACTGCCAAACGATTGTATTTGTTTATCTGGTCAGTTTCCTCTCCCTTTCTCCACAAAGATTATTCCAAAACTTCTACACTTTTCTGAAATTCCCAAGACTACCCTTCATCACCTCATTATTTAGCGTATAATACCATCTCCTATTTTACAGAGAAAACAAAGCCATTAGACAGACACTACATCAACTTGTCACTAGCAAAACTGCTAGTTTACTTGCATTTGTACCCACCCTTTCTTCCCTTCCATCCTCCCATCAAATGTTCATCTCTCTACTTGCGATATGGAGTCCAAACCCTCCTCCCTCCTCAGGGATCTTGATGCTCTGTTAACTCATTCCCTTTCTCTTAGATTGCCAGCCTCTGCCTCTCTACTAGGTTTGTCCTGAAACATGCTTAAGTTTAACCAAACTTTTTATTTACTAATCCATGCATTCAAATATTTTTATTAGGTCTATGTGTGAGGCATTATTCTAGGTATTAAGCAGGGAACAGAATCAACTGAAACCTTTGACCTCTTAAATCCAACATGCCACTGAGAGATAAAATAAGAAGTCAAAGTTCAAGTAAAGTTAAAATTCAACAAGTTAAATGGTAATAAGTACAATGGAGGAAAATAAAGTGATGAAATCTGTTGGAGGGGGAAGGGTACAGTTGTAAATAGAATGTCCAGGAAAGGCTTATTGAAAAGATGATATAAAAGTCAATACCCAAAGAAGGTGAGAAGATAAAGCATGTGAATAAGTCTGACAGGAAAAAACACTTCCAGGCATAGGGAACAGTCATGACAAAAACAATGAGGTAAAAATGTCCCTGGGCTGGGCGAGGTGGCTCACGCCTATAATCCTAGCACTCTGGGAGGCCAAGGTGGGCGGATTGCTCAAGGTCAGGAGTTTGAAACCAGCCTGAGCAAGAGCGAGACCCTGTCTCTACTAAAAATAGAAAGAAATTAATTGACCAACTAAAAATATATATACAAAAAATTAGCCGGGCATGGTGGCACATGCCTGTAGTCCCAGCTAATCGGGAGGCTGAGGCAGTAGGATTCCTTGAGCCCAGGAGATTGAGGTTGCTGTGAGCTAGGCTGATGCCATGACACTCACTCTAGCCTGGGCAACAAAGTGAGACTCTGTCTCAAAAAATAAATCAATAAATAAATAAAAAATAAAAAAAATAAAAATGTCCCTGGAGTATTGGGTAAACAATGTGGAGATCAATATAGCTATGACCAAAACAGAGAAAAGCAGAATTAAAGTCTGAGAGATGATGAAAGGGACAAATTATGAAAGACTTCACCAGTCAGGAATTGATTTTAATTTATACTCTGGGTCAGAAGTAAAGCATTGGAGGAGTTGAACAGAACAGTGACATATTCTAACATACTTTTTTAATTAGAACACTGGCAAGATACCTTGGTAGTTTGGACTGATAGGGTTAGCAGTGGAGGTGATAAAAGGTGATCAGATTTTGGAATGTTTAAAAATAGAGGTTAACAGAATTTCCTGGTATACTGAATGTGAGATGAAAGAGAATGAGAGTAATAAAGGATAACTCCAAGGTCTCTGATCTGCATGACAAGGACGTAGTTGCCAAGATAGAAAAGACTATGCAAGGAGCAGGTCTCAAGAGGAAAGATCAATAACTCAGTTTGGGACACATCAGGTTTGAGATGCCTCCTAACATTCAAGTGAAATTTGAGAAGGCAATTAGACATATAAGTTCAGAGGAAAAGTCCAGGTTGGTATAAAGGTGGTAAGTCATGAACATATAGATTTATTAAAGGGCAGGTGGGTGCGGTGGCTCACACCTGTAATCCTAGCACTTTGCAAGGTAGAGAAGGGAAGATAACTTGAGGCCGAGAGTTTAGTTTGAGACCCGACTGGGCAACATAGCAGCCCTCATCTCTAAAAATAAAAAAAAAAATTAGCTGAGTATGGTGATGTGTGCCTGTAGTCCTTGCTACTCAAGAAGCTGAGGCAGGGGGAATGCTTGAGCCCAGGAGTTCAAGGTTGCAAAGAGCAATGATAACTCCTAAAATGACTTTTTTTTCTTTTTTTTAAAGACAGGGGCTTGCTCTGTGACTAGGGCCCAAGTGCAGTGGCTTCATCATAGCTCACTACAACCTCTAAATACTGAGCTCTAGCAATCCTCTTGTGTCAGCCTCCAGAGTAGCTAGGATCACAGATGAACGCCACCATACCTGGCTAATTTTTCCATTTTATATAAAGACAGGGTCTCACTATGTTGCTCAGGCTGGTCTTGAACTCCTGACCTCAAGCAATCCTGCCTCGGGCTTCCAAAGTGCTAGGATTCCAGGCATGAGCCACCATGGTCAGCCTGGAAGGACTTTTGACAACAGAACAGATGGAAAGAAATTTGAAACTAGTTTTGAGGTGTTACAAATTAGAAACCTCTTGTGATGTTCAGTTACAAAAAGAAAGAGATGGAATGGTAGAGAAAAGTAGGGTCAAGATAAGTTTTATTACTCTTATTATCTATTTGTGGTTTTCTTTTTGAGACACAGTCTTGCTCTGTTGCCCAGGCTAGAGTGCCATGGCATCAGCCTAGCTCATAGCAACCTCAACTCCTGGGCTCAAGGAATCCTTGTGCTTCAGCCTCACGAGTAGCTGGGACTACAGGCATGTACCACAATGTCCGGCTAATTTGTTTCTATATATTTTTAGTTGTCCAGCTAATTTCTTTCTATATTTAGTAGAGATGGGGTCTCACTCTTTTTTTTTTTTTTTTTTTTTTGAGACAGAGTCTCACTCTATGCCCAGACTAGAGTGGAGGTGCCCTGGCATCAGCCCTAGATCACACAACCTCAAATTCCTGGGCTCAGGCGATCTTCCTGACTCAGCCTCTCAAGTAGCTGGGACTAAGGCATGTGCCACCATGCCCAGCTAATTTTTTCTATATATATTAGTTGGCCAGTTAATTTCTTTGTATTTATATAGCAGACGGGGCTTGCTCTTGCTCAGGCGGTTTCGAACTCCTGACCTCGAGCAATCCACCCGAGTCGGCTCCCAGGATGCCTAGGAATTATAGCAATGAGACCACAACGCCAAGCGGGGGTTTCTCGACTCTGTGACGGCTAGCGGTCTTGAACTCCTGACCTTGAGTAGTCCTCCTGCCTCAGCCTCTCAGAGTGCTACAATTACAGACGTGAATCACCACGCCCAGCCTATCTATTCGTTTTTAAGATGGGAGAAATAGCATGTTGGTATGCTGCTGATAAAGATCCAGTAGAGAAAGAAAAATTAACGATGGAAAAGAAAGGGAAGAACTGCCAGACAGTGTTCTTGAGTAGGTAAGAGAAAGAAGTGGCTTATACTGGAACAATTTATCCACAGAAACAGATGACAAAGTAGAATAAATGAGCATCGAAGCAGTGAAGTGGGTGAAGACAGTAGTGAGAGCATGTGTAAGTTCCCTCCTGGCTGTTTCTATTTCCCAGCAAAATAGGAAGCACTGTCACCAACTGAGAGTGAGGACGAGGAAGGAGATATTAAAAGTTAAGCAGACTGTAATCCTAGCACTCTGGGAGGCCAAAGTGAGAAGATCGTTCAAGGTCAGGAGTCCAAAACCAGCCTGAGCAAGCTCGAGATCCCATCTCTACTAAAAATAGAAAGAAATTAATTGGCCAACTAAAAATATATAGAAAAAATGCATGGTGGCGCATGCCTGTAGTCCCAGCTACTTGGGAGGCCGAGGTAGAAGGACTGCTTGAGCCCAGGTGTTTGAGGTTGCTGTGAGCTAGGCTGACTCCATGGCACGTTAGCCTCGGCAACAGAGTGAGACTCTGTCTCAAAAAAAAATGACAAAAATTCTAAAATAAAAAGAGAGATTTTTTTGTTGTGCCAGGCTAAGAGTGAGTGCCTGGGCGTCAGCCTAGCTCACAGCAACCTCACACTCCTGGGCTCAAGCGCTCTCGCTCAGCTCCCGAGTAGCTGGGAGCTGACAGGCTGCCACACGATGCCCCGCTAATTTTTCCCTTATATATCTGTTGGCAATTAATTTCTTTCTATTTATGTAGGAGGCCGGTTCGCTCTCCTTCTGCTGGTTTTGAACTCCTTGACCTTGAGCATCTGACCCCTCTGGCCTCCTAGAGAGCTAGGATTACAGGCGAGAGCCCGCGCCCCGGCCTGTTTTGAATTTTCAGTGTAAATAACACCCAGTGAAGTTGTATACTGTTTATGCATTTATTAGCTTTTTGTCTATTTTGCTATTTTGGGCAAGGAGATTTTCTTACCACTTTGAGTGTGTTTTTTAACATATTAATGTTAAATATTTAAATATTTGCATTTGTTACAATGTTTTTTACACATTTGTCATTTATTTCCATTTCTGTTTGTGCTATGTTGGACATGTAATAAGGTTTTATATTTTTCAAATCCCTTTCCCTCCCGCTTTTGCTCTTATCCCTCCCTCCCCCACCCTCCTCACCCATTCTTTCTCTCCCCTCCCTCCTACCCCCCCACCCCCCCCCTCTCCCCCTCCCCTCCCCCTCTCTTCCCTCCCCCTCTCCACCCCCGCCTCTCTCCTCCCGTCCCCCGCTCCCTACTTCCCGTCTCACCCTTCCTTTTAGGCAAGAACAATAATAGGGTCAATATTTGGTTTTGAAAGATCTTTCTGTCTTCTACTTTCCGTCTCCCCCCCCTCCCCCTCACCCCCTCTGATTTGGAATGTATTGAATTGGAAAGCTACGGTAAAACTCTCTCTCCCCGCCCTTCCTTTCCCCCCCAGCCCCTCCCCCCCCCCTCCCCCCCCTCTCCCCTCCCCCTCGCCCCCCCCTCCCCCCCCCCCCCTCCCCCCCGCCTCTTCCCCCTCCCTCCTCCTCTTCAGAATTTTTAATTCTTTAATTCCTCTCTGAATGTTTATTTCACCTCCTTATTCTAATTGAAGTCCTATTCTCCCCTGAGGACACTGCTTGTTCTGAAGTGGTGGGTGTTTTCTTATGTCGTTGGATCTGGAAGTGGGCCCAGATGTCTTTCTTGTTCTTCATTGTCACTTTGTCCCTTTCTCCTGTGTTCCTCCCCTTTCCAACTTCTGAACCCCAAATTAAAATTTCTGCTATACTATCACTCTCTCCAACATGACTCTTTTTTTTTTTTTTTTTTTTTTGAGATAGAGTCTCGCTTTGTTGCCCAGGCTAGAGTGAGTGCCGTGGCGTCAGCCTAGCTCACAGCAACCTCAACTCCTGCGATGATCTTCTGTCAGCCTCCCGGGTAGCTGGGACTACAGGCATGCGCCACCCATGCCCGGCTAATTTTTTTTTATATATATATATCAGTTGGCCAATTAATTTCTTTCTATTTATAGTAGAGAGGGTCTCGCTCTTGCTCAGGCTGTTTCGAACTCCTGACCTTGAGCAATCCGCCGCCTCGGCGTCCCAAGAGCTAGGATTACAGGCGTGAGCCACAGCGCCCCGCTAACATGACTTTAATGTAATTTTTGTTATGGTTCTTGACCATAGAAATGTTCCTTTGGATGATCCTTCCAATATCCTGAGTCACCATTCTTTGACCTTCTCCCTCTATGACATTATCTTCAAACATTCTCCTCTGATCACCAGTGTAATTTTTTCTGTTTTCTTCCCTCTATTACCCTGACTTCAACAATCCTTTGACTCTACCTAGACTTGCAATCTATTAATTCTGCCTTTTCACTGTCTCTTACTCACCCCTTCCCTAGGTCCTCATTTCCATTCTTAACCTTTCTTAGATCATAAATTTCCATTCATTGTCTTCAACTTCCTTGCCCAAAACCAACCTAAGTTTAATCCAGTTTTCTACCTACCCCACACTTGTACCTGCACAGCTGATTGTAGCTGGAGAAAAATACCCAGCAATGTTCATTTTAAATTCAGTATTACCGGCTAGGCATGGTGGCTCACGCCTGAAATCCTAGCACTCTGGGAGGCTGAGGCGGGCGGATTGCTCGAGGTCAGGAGTTCAAGACCAGCCTGAGCAAGATCAAGCCCCCATCTCTACTAAAAATAGAAAGAAATTAATTGCCTAACTAAAAATACATAGAAAAAAAATTAGCTGGGTGTGGTGATGCATGCCTGTAGTCCCAGCTACTTGGGAGGCTGAGAGACAAGGATTGCTTGAGCCCAGGAGTTTGAGGTTGCTGTGAGCTAGGCTGACACCACTGCACTCTACCCTGGGCAACAGAATGAGACTCTGTCTTCAAAATAAATAAATAAATAAAATAAATTCAATATTACCAATATTAAGTGGGCCCTTATTGCTGCCTGACAATTGGACTACATTTCCCCACTTATTCACTATCCTATTCTCCTAAATCATGTTTTTATATTTTTGCTTTTCCTCTTCCTTTTCCAACAGAGTCTCAGTCTGTTCCTTGGGTAGAGTACAGTGGCGTCATTGTAACTCACTGCAACCTCAAACTCCTGGGCTCAAGGGATCCTTTTGCCTCAGCCTCCTGAGTACGTGGGACTACAGGCATGCCACAATGCCCAGCTAATTTTTTAATTTTTAGTAGAGATGGGGTCTTGCTCAGGCTGGTCTCAAACTCCTGAGCTCAAGCAGTGCTCCTACCTTAGCCTCCCAGAGTGCTAGGATTACACGCATGAGGCCACCACCTCTGCCTTTCTTTTCTACTTAACTTTTTTTTTTTTTTTGAGACAGAGTCTCACTCTGTTGCCGAGGCTAAAGTGCCATGGAGTCAGCCTAGCTTCACAGCAACCTCAAACCTGGGCGCAAGCAGTCTTACTCGGCCTCCCAAGTAGCTGGGACTACAGGCATGCGCCACCATGCATTTTTTCTATATATTTTTAGTTGGCCAATTAATCTTCTTCTATTTTTAGTAGAGATGCGGGGTCTCCGAGCTTGCTCAGGCTGTTTTTTGGACTCTGACGTTGAACGATCTCCTCACTTTGGCCTCCCGAGGGCTAGGATTACAGTCTGCTTAACTTTTAATATCTCCTTCCTCGTCTCTCACTCTCAGTTGGGTGACAGTGCTTCCATTTTGGTGGGAAATAGAGAACACGCCAGCGAGGGAACTTACACATGCTCTCACGTAATGTCTCACCCTGCCGCCCCCCTCACCTGCTTCTTGCTTCATTTCAGTATTCTAACACTTTGTGCATCTCCGTTC